GCATTTCTTTTTCTTATTGCAAGGTCAGTGGTAAAACACAATGGCTTTGATTACCAGAGGTGTGGGCTGTGTTGTCGTGCTGGAAGTGCCTCCAGGGCTGCGGAACTCTGTATCTGCTCTCGCACTGAGATACCCCGTTTGATCCTGGGGGTGGCTTCCCACATCTGCTAGTAGTTGAGCTAGAGCGGCGTAACACCTTGCCCACTGCCACCTGAGGTGTGGTGGACAGGATTGGAGAGGATGTATGTGCTCCTGCTTGCAAAATAGAATGCATTTTGTTTAAACCGCCTTTACCATGGTTTAAGATGTGTTTTACTTTGCGGTTACAGTGGACCAGGAATGTATGTGCTGCTTAGCTCACCTGACAAGCAGTACCTCCTATGCCTCTGGAGCTCACAAGTGAATGTCCCTTGACCAGACATGGGATTGGTCATCAAGGCAAGGAAGCGGTTGTTTTCTGTTTAAATTTTTATGGCAGAATAAGGTGTGTGGTTGCTTTATAGCATTTTTACAGCAGAAAAAGAAAACCACATTCCTGTAGAGATGGCTCTTCTTTTAGCTGGAAGTAAGTATTGTGTTTTTAGTGCAGGATTTATAATGTCTGCAGAGACCACAAATTTTCTTGCTACATAGCTGATAGCTCTCTTAGCAAGCTTTCTACCTTAACAGTCTCTTGACAATTCTCTGTTTCAGCCTGAAGTTCAGTTAGATGAAGCAGTAACTTCCTGTCCTCTGAGGAGCACATTGTACTTTGTGTGATGGCTGACTCTCTCTGGAAACTTTCGGCCATCGGGTTAAACAGTGCCTTTGAATCACAGATGTTTGAATGTCACAGTCCCAGCTATAAACTGTGCTCACGTGGGATCAGCTTTGTGCCTGCTCATGAGAGCAGTTGGAGTTGAGCTGAGGTCTCCACAGTCCTTGGCAAATATGCTGGCCATTGGAGTGTCCTTTTGGAGATGAGGTAGCCCACTGCTGTTTGAAGGATGGCCTTTGATCTTTTCCTTTTAAGTCTTCCTGGATTGATAATCCCCACATTTCACTTCAGAATGTGGCAACTGGATTATTCTGGGTGCTGTTTTACACTGTATGTTTTAGCTTAGGGTGACCAGATTTATTTTCCAGATTCTGGGTAACCATTAGCTCATTGGCTTTGTGTTACTATTCTTGTCTGCCAGCCTTGTTCTGGGCAGTATTATTTGTGTACTGACACATGCCAGAATACAAATGAATGGCTGCAGTTCTTTCCCTGAGAAATGTCTTGCACTTCAGAGACTGTGGCTCTTAGTGATGTATTAAATAAAGAAATATAGAGAGGACACAAAATTCTCCCAGCTCTCTTGCCCCATCCCAAAATGTTAATGGCACAGAAGGGAAGTGATGGATCAGTGTCTGCATGGCTGAAGAGGACTTTGTGTTGGACCATTTCCACCCTCCTTGGCATGATGTGCTGTACTTGGTTCTTTTAATAGACTGGCATCTGATTTGCCTCCTCTGTGGTTTTGATGTGCTGTCTGAAAGCAACGTTTAAACCCAGCAGGTATAAAAATGGGTACTGGGACAAAATTTGGCCTCTTAACTGCTAAATAAAATTAAGCCCATGGTCTCATGCCACCCAAGGCACAAATGCTAAATTGCATTTTAATCAGTCCATGGTCTATAGTGCCTGTGTCGATGTTTCCTAACACTTTTGAAGTGAGGCTGGCTCCCGTACCTTTTTGTCCTCACCGTGGACACAGGATCCTTGAGGTCATCACTGGCTGTCACAGATTCTTCTTTACTCCTGCCTCCACCTCCTCCAGCAGCACCGTGGAGCTCATGCTAAGAAGACATTTTAGCGTGGGGTCTGCCTTCTACCTTACAGCTCAGCAGCCCACATCCCAAAAGATAAACTTTGCTGCTTTCAAGTCACCAACTCTCCATTTATGAACCCATAAAAAGTACCAGAAGCAACTGGTGTCTTCATTTACTCATCCCTGACTGTTGTAGGAAACAGGGTTGTATGGGAGATGCCCTCCGGGATGCCTCCTACCCTGTGCTCAAGGGGAAGGTGAAATACCCTCTGGTGTCCCTGCTCAGATAGTCCTTGGAAGGAAACTTCTGCTTCATATTTGGCAGGCATTTGAGTCCTGCTGCATGAGAGTAGGCTTTCCTTAACTGCTTGATCACGTTTCTTACCCACTGATACTGTTGGCAGCCAAATATCTGTCTGCTTGCAACTTGGAAAGGGTGTTCTGACAACTGCTTTTTGAGTAATTCCTGTCATTTCATGCATGTCATGCTGCACAGTATCAGGATGCATTTCTGTCACTGCTGAACTCGGAAGGATTCTTAGATGAGGTTTGGTGACCCTTTTTTTTCTTTTTTTATATTAAAAAAAAAAAAATAGAGGCTTGTTTGGCATGTGAGCTACTGAGCAGTGAGAGAACCTAGACCATGTGCCCCGAAAGGAATCTGAATGGAGTAAGCTGCAGGAGGAGTCAGTGTTAAGCCTTCAAATACAGTTAACTTGCACAGGAGGATTTGGACACACAGGTTCACACCTGCATGCGTGACATCCCACCCTAAGGGCTGACCGTGTCCTTGGATGCGAGTGTCGACTGCCTGAAGTCACTGTGAAATCATTTCCCACCTTGAGGTGTGAGTGACGTGAGCTTATATGAGACACACAGCAGTTGCCTATTCAGTGCACAGGGAACACATTTGTACAGCGATTTTGAAGATGTAGAGACTGCCTATTTTGGGAATAGGTCATAGATTTCCTATACTTCTCTCTGGGAATCAAATTAATCAGCAGTTCCTCTTTCTTCTGGTCATCGTTCCGCACAGGAAACAAATCAGTTCCCTGTGAGCCCCACTGTTCGTTTCTTGCTGAGGGTCTTTGAGAGGTACAGTGACAGGACATAATCGCAGGTTGCAGTAAGGATATGTTTACTGCCTGCTGCTTTGTGGAGGTCTCTTCTGGGGAAACTGAATGTGTATGTGGGGCTTCTTGGTTCCCCCCATCAACTTGCTGTGAGCTTGGATGAATCTTTCATACTTACGGCCTTTTACCTGTAAACCAAAAAGCATTTTACTTGCTTGCCTTACTTGCTGTTAGAGGAATTAGGTTGTTAGAGTTACAAAGGACATTCAGGCCGTGTGAGAAGGACACTAGTGAGCAGAAGTGGCTGTGGATATCAAGGTTAGTAGCAGACTTTTGTGTGTGATTCTTACTCTATTCTTGGTTTTCTTCATGACTGTTTAGGAAGAAGTTGGTTCAGCTCTGTCATGTTTTGATCTCCCAAGCCATTGTGTAAGACAGTCCTATTTCCTATGCTTCTCTTCTGTCAGATTCTGTGGTTTGCTGAAGACAAATGAGATTTCTAGGCTTTCCATGACGTAGCATGAGAGGGGACATTTTCTCTTTGAGCTCCTGAATGTTCTGGGTTTATTTCAGGGGGGTTCCTTTTGGTGTGGTGGGTTTGTGAAAGGAGATTTGCCTTGCTAGTAAGGGGTTGGTATATGAAACCGTCAGTTACTTTACAGTAATATCTGTAGCTTTCAAGGAAGTGGTGGTGGTTTCAGCCTTTCTCCTTAGCATATGGTTTTGCATGCTCATGCTTGCAAGTGCCATGTGAGTGCCCTGTATTCAGTCTGGCAACCATTTGTGCACGTGCGTGAAAAGAAGGTTCAGTCATTGCATCGTGCTGTGGGTGTGATGAGGGAGTTTGCGTTCTGCAGATGATGGAGATTTTGGGGAGAGGGAGCAGGCTGGTAGCAGCATCTAACTGTTCTGCTTTGCAGAAGTCTACTCTGATCAGGTCTGTCTCATTCTGTATTTACAATGCATCTTGCTTGTCTTCAGCTCTCTGTGTGGCAGGCTCAGCAGTAGCATCAGTAAAGATATTGGAGCAAACAAGGTATGACAGGTAGATGTGAAATTGAGGGGCAGAACAAGTACCTGTGGAGTTTGATAGCTAATGGCTGGGGATGGCTTGGAGGAGATACGTCGTCTTGGAGGAACATGTAGAGTCAACAGCTGGGAAAGTTCCTTTCAGGAGTCAGTTTATTGACCTCAAATGCAGGCTTAACAAAGGCAGAGATGATCTCTCTTGGTAGGCAGGGTTTAACATGGCTGGTTGATTTTGCTTTATCAAACTGTCCATGAGATATTGATGAGGCTACTTTCTGTCAGCGCTAATGCTTCTGCAAGTCCCTGGTTTTATTTCACTGCAACGTTCTTGAATTGTAGTCTGATTTGTTCACAAACTTTTGAGTGCTTGAGATTTTACATGCAGTGTGGTATTCCTCCTCTAGGAGGAGAGTCTTGGGCAGTGATTCACCGAAGTATTTTTTTGCATGACTCAGAGGTTTGGAGGTTGCTTGGTCTGTCTTTTAGCTGGCTTTCAGGGGGAAAAAAAAAAATCTCGTAACAAATGACAGTCGTATTTTAGGCTAGTTTTGAATGTCTCTGTTACCTATCACTGAGAGATCTTTCAGGATTTTCATCAATGAATCACTGTAACAAAGATCAGGAAGTTTTGGCAAATGAGAATGATGTGAGTTGCCTTCTTTCACAAACAAGTTGGTAAGGAAACAGGAATTTGTGGAGGTTTGACTCTTACCCTATCAAAACAGTAATTGCTAGAAATCAATCCATTTTTAAATTGGAGTTTAAGACGTTGAAGTTAATCTGAGTGTATGTATAGCATGATTTAATTGCTGAAGTTAAAAGTTGCTAATGTGTCCAAAGACATTTCTGACTCTGCTACTGTAGAAATAATTGACATTTTTGACTAGACAGGCAGTGGTAACTGGTGATTAAACAGCTGATTTGCAGCCAAATCATTACTGTGTATGTAACTCTGCTTTTTCCTTCTTTCTGTAAGCTTTTTAAAATGTGCAGAAAGGAAGTCAATTAATATGGTGTGGTGGTATAATGCGCCTTGCTAATAATGGAATTAACTGGGCTGGTATGGTTCTGTGCAGACATCCCAGATCTCATGAAATAATCCCAGACAACCTGCTATTCTGAAACTTTTCTTGCTGTGTTACCTTGCAGAGCAGTGGTAGAGGCCGTTCATCGGTTGGATCTCATCCTTGGTAATAAGGCAGCGTATCAAGAAGTGTTCAAGCCGGAGAACATCAGCTTGAGGAATAAGTAAGTTGGGCAGGGTGCTTGTTTTTTATGTTTGGCTGGGGAAAATCCAGGTGAAGCAAAACATGGAGGTCTTGAATCTGCAGTTTTGCAGTGTATTCAATTTGTAGTGCACCTGTTGACCTGGGATCCCTCCAGGTTCTGAAGTAGAGGCTGGATTTCAGATCTGTATTTGAACAGCACCTAACCATACAGGCCATGACTGGAGGCTTTCTTGGGTGCTGTTGTAATACAAATAAGTCATCTTCATGTTGGCCAATGCCTTCCAGGTAATTATCTTTAAAAAAACCTGTGTGGTGAAGAAACTTCTTATATCTGTGTGAAATCTTTTATCGGGTTCAGAGGGTGCCTAGCAGGGGTTAGTTTTTTTTAAGCTGTCAAGACAATTCTTGACATTCCTGCATTTAGGAAGTTACTGATGGCCAGCTGAGCCAAGGTAACTGCTTAGGTGTATGGCTTTTACAGATGCTCTTGTGTGGGAGTGACACAAGCTGTACCATCACCAGATGGCCTAGCTCATCCATCGTAATGAGTTCAGATTTTCTTCTGTGCTTATGTAGTGGCAGCTGTATTTAAATCTGCTATAGCTAAATGTGAATTCTCTACTGTCTGTCTCAGGCTGCGGGAGCTGTGTGTGAAACTGATGTTCTTGCATCCAGTGGATTATGGAAGAAAAGCAGAAGAACTGCTCTGGAGAAAAGTTTACTATGAAGTTATCCAGCTCATTAAAACAAATAAAAAGGCAGGTATCTATGGCTTTGGCATGCAAAAGTCTCTGGCTGTTCAATGGAAGAGACCAAGTTAAAAGCTTCATTTACTGGGAGGAGTTGTGGTCTGAACAGGGCAAGAAGCCAGGCACTCCTGAATTTTAATCATGGAGCTGACCTATGCTTTTTGTCGAACTGTGGGCAGGTAGGCTCTAATCTGCTGAGCGTGCTGCCATTGCAGAGGATATTTCAACATAATTTTCTTAATTTTTGTCTTCCTAGCTTTAGAAGACACACATCTCCATGTAGAATGATGGTCTTAAGAGGTTTTGTCAGTGCAGATTTTACTGGAGTTGATCGCTGGAAATACTCAACAGTATTCACACTTGTGTTTTCTAATGCCATGAGCCCTCTCCTGGTGATCTGGTTGTCCGAACGTATTTAAGGTGCTCTAACCAGACACCTTGATTTTATTTGTTGCAGCAAGTATTTCTCCTTCTTGATGTTGACCCTTGGTAGATACCACTAGATACACCACTGTTGAGCAAGAGGAAGTACAGAACTGTGCAAAACTGATTACAGCTGAGCTACCTGCTATCTTGCTTCATATTTGGTATAACTTGAGTGGCCAGCCTAAAATGTTACCTGGACTGCATTAACATACTCTCATTTTTCTTCCCTCCAGCACATTCACAGCCATAGCACTCTGGAGTGTGCGTACCGGACCCACTTAGTTGCTGGCATAGGATTTTACCAGCACCTTCTCCTCTACATTCAGTCTCACTATCAGCTGGAGCTGCAGTGCTGTATTGACTGGACGCATGTAACGGACCCTCTAATAGGTGAGTGCTTAGTGTGTCGGACTCGTGGGTAAGGCCTGAATCCCAGACAGGTGGCTTCCCCTTGTCGGCATTCAAGGGATTATCTTTTTTTTTTTCTTCCTGATTAGCCAGTTACTGTTTAGAACAGACTGTCTGTCCTGCTCTCTTTTCCATGGCACTGTTTTGGTGGTGGTGTTGTTTTGTTGGGTTTTTTTAATACTAAACCAGGGAAAAAAGAAGAATTTCTAACAGGAAGAAAATGCTGTTAGAAAATTCTTCAGTAAATGTTTGGTGGTGGCAGATTTTTATGGAAAATTGAAGAGCACTTCTGGCTGTACAGAATGCTTTTAAAAGTTTAATTAAAGCAGACAAACAGGCCATTGGGGAATAGGTTCTTGAAATCAACAGATTTTTGTCAGAGCATCCTATTTACTAGATATAAGATACTGTTCCTTCTCTTGGTGCCCCTTCTATCTGTACTCCCTTCATATACTTCCTAGCTGTACTGTGTGTAGCTTTGAAAGGGCTGTTGAATCCTGGACTGAGAACATGAGGAAGCTCCTGTAACACAGTAAGGTATGTTTGCTATCTCAGGTAACCACCTCTGTGCATGCCCTTAGATGCAGGGTAATTTGAGGTATCTTGCCTGTTAGGGGAGGAAGAATAAGAGTATTTACAGTATTGAAACAGCTCAAGGCCGCATATGCGTTCACATCCTCGATTACCTTGTAACAGTTTGTTCACGTTTGTTCCTGGATTGTGCCCGGTGGCCTCAAAGCACATGTTTCTCTTCGGGTGGGTTTAGGTGAGAAATGGTGCCTCTGTATGTTTTGTGAACTGTATTAGCAAGGGTTTAATTGACATTCTTAAAGCTGGCAGGGGAGGGACGTCAGAAACCGGCATAAGAGAAGTTGGTATCTCTTCAGCAATAGAATGTTTTAGTTGCTGGTATCCTATTCTTAGTTCTGGGAGGTGATCATATCGTGATTGGCTCTGAAATGTCAGTTTAAAAGGCAGATGTCCCTGGGAACTGTTGCTTTGAGAAGTGTATCTCAGTAATGCAGAATTAATAAATTCTCAAAATGTGCATTCCAGATGGGTTTGTACCTTGTGGTGTGTGATTGCATTTGAAAGGCTCTCCTTATTCAGGTTTCTTAATGTGTTTAGGCTCTTTTAATTAAAAAGATGCAGCACATGAGTATGTAACTGGAAAACAGAGATGTAACCTTGCATATCTGGAAAAGATACATGTGTAAGAATCCTGTAAGAGCTACAAATGAGGGTGGACACAACTTGATGGTTATATAAATGGGAGCAAGAGGATTCAAATCAAAAAAGGAAGGATGGGTCCAACAGCACACATGGACACAGATTTGAAGGCCGTGTATTCATAAAATGCAGCTCATACAATGCCTGTTAGTAAGTGGGAACCATTCCTCACTGGTCACTTAAGCCTCCAGATTTCACTTCCACTCTTTTAAACGAAGCCAAGAGGGAAGGAAGTAACTCAGACTGCAGGCTGAACTGGTCTTAACAATCTTCCTTTGGGATTCCTGCTTGAGGGGAATTTTCTCCTCCAGAAGGTGGAAGTCCTTGGCAACAGGAAGACTGAATCCATGACACTGATCTGTCTGGTGGCAGTAAATGCTCTCTGGAGAGGAAGCATGAACGCGGTAGCCTTTGCCTCCTGATCTCTGGCTGAACCATAGCCCTGCTAGCTGGGGAGAAGGTGCTGATGGGGAGATGGGAAGCATGGTCTTGGCAGCAGCAGCACCTCCCAGGAACCGAGTCATGTTTGATGGCTTCAGTTACTTCAGGATGGAGCTTTCCCCTGCTACTTTTGACACTTTCCACTGCTTGAACTGCCTTTTTTTTTTTTTAAGTACAGTTACAGAATAGACTAGACTATTTCAGTTGGAAGGAATCTACAATGATTGTCTAGTCCCAACAGCCTGACCAATTCAGGGCTGACCAAAAGTTAAAGCATGTTATTAAGCGCATTGTCCAAATACCTCTTAAGCAATGACAGGCTTGGGGCATCAAGCACCTCTCTAGGAAGCCCGTTCCAGTGTATGACCACCCTCTTGGTAAAGAAATGCTTCCTAATGTCCAGTCTAAACCTCCTTTGATGCAGCTTTGAACCATTCCCATGTGTCCTATCGCTGGATACCAGGGAGAAGAGATCAGCACATCCTTTTCCATGTCCCCTCCTCAGGAAGCTGCAGAGAGCAATGAGGTTGCCCCTCAGCCTCCTTTTGTCCAAACTAGACAAGCCTGAAGCCCTTAGCCAGTCCTCATAGGACATGCCTTCCAGCCCTTTCTCCAGCTTTGTTGCCCTCCTCTGGACACAAAGGGCAGTTTTGTCTGGAGACAGTTCTTCCTTACTGATCACAGCTGCCCTGTCTACAACATGTTTGCTGTCCTGATTTTTCCTTGTTTTACTTCTCTTCCTTCCTTTTTAGTTGGCCAGTCCTAAATCTAGATTTCAGTCTTGAGACCATGAGTTTATTTCCATCTTCAGTGTCGGGGAAGGTACCTCCACATCGTATGCCACTGCCAGGTGCAAGTGTGCTCAGACTTTATTCGGCCTTCCAGGGATTTGTGCCAGCTCCTATCCAAAGGCCTCATTAGCCATGCTAACAAAATCAGCCTCTTGACAGGCCTTATTAGCTTGTGCTCAGTGCTATGCTAACACCATCGCATGGCTTACAGACAGGAATTGGCCTTTGTCCTCTCATCTGCGTGCAAATGGAGCCAGCTCTCTGTGGCATATCTTGTAGACAAAGTCTGAGTGACAGTTGTGTCAGTGACTGTTAGCGATGCAGTGACATGCACTGCCCCTAATCACCAGGGAGTTGAAGGGGAAGTGGGTGAGCATCAGTGTCTACATGTATTTTCTACATTTATTTTCCACATTTTGACAATAGTGAACCAGTGCTCGTCCATAAGATGCTGCAGACAGCAACCAACAGTGTGGTCTGACCATGTGGTCTTTGTTTTCATCTGGTTAAATGTTGGGTGTCTTGGGCAAAGGTGTAGGCTGTTCATGTGTCTTTCCAGCAGCCTTTACCCAATGGTGTATGTGACTTCATATTTCTTACGTAGGCTGCAAGAAACCCGTGTCTGCATCAGAGAAGGAGATGGAGTGGGCACAGATGGCATGTCACAGATGTCTGGTTTATCTGGGAGATCTAGGTAAGAACAGCATCATCTTTCAGGGCAACCTTTAATACATTAAAAAGATGGTGCCTGTACAGTGTTGAGTCCATCGTTGTTAGTCGTCAGCCATAGTTACTTGCAGACACTGGTTTCCTTCAGACACGTTTGTAAATAGCTGCTATAAACTGAAACCCTTGTGGATAACTGAACCACAACAAATTGCAGAAGCTTTGTTTTTGGGCAAGTAGATGAAGAGTTTGCTATTGATAAACAGCTGTATAAGACTCTGTAAGAATGGAAGCCTTCGCTTTTATTTACGTTGTTTGGACAGTGTGAAAGAAACTCAAAGTGGGCTGTCTTCTCAGTTCAGACTTGCTTTAAAGTTGCCTTACGGAGCCACTGTCATCAGCACAAGTGTGACAAAGTCAGATTTATTAAGCAATATTATGAATCAGTCCAGAGTGGCAGGCCGCTGCAAATCCCCAGGTTTTGTTATTGCGCCTGGCTGCATGTCATCCTTTTTATAGCAGACGTGTCTGTCCCACAGTCACGACCTGAAGTGTGTGGTAAGTGTGTCAGCTTCTCGATTGTGAACATGTGGGAGTGAAGGCAATGAGAAAACATGTAACTGTGTGAAAAACAGCTATTTGAAGTGTGGCGCAGGTAAATGCACTTGACACACAGCAGCCTTCAAGCTCTTGAAAGATGTTCGGCATATCGTTGCACATGAATCAGCCCAAAAATGGCATTGCAAATGAATGTCTGACGGGGGTAGTAAGAATGACTTACCTGACTGGTGGAAACGTGCTCACCTCTTCACAATGCTTTCACCTCGGGTTTCCAAAATGCCTACTGTTGTCAAAAAAAAGCCAAACCAAACCAAAAAAAACTCTCCAGTCTAGCCACAGACAGGTATTGTATTAGGTCAGCTGACATGCTTTACATTTCACACTGCTGTAGAAGAATATAGTCTGAGGTACTGGAAAATGGGGCACAACTGAGTTATTTCAAGGATAAATGAATCTGCACTTAACACGTGGGGCAGAATAATTTCTTCTTTTTGCTTATATGCTGCCTCAAGTGTTGAGGGATATCCCCTTTGCATGAAGTGGCAGGGCTTGTGATGTGTGGAATAGTGCAGCTGAAATACAAGTGCTTCAAACGGGCCTGGTGAACCCTGTACATTTTGCCAAGAGCAGTTCTTTGATGGATATGTTGACTTGGCCAGTATTTCTATTTTTG